ATCAAGAATCTCTGAGATCCGGCGACTCTCGGGGATGTATCGGGCGCCGCGGCCTCCTCAAAGCGTCCCCGAACGCTCTGAGAGCGTTCCAGAACACCTCCAGAACGGACTTCTCCTCGTCCTGGCCAAGTCCGAGCTTGGCATGAAGAAAGCGGGACCAGAGGAGCAACAACACTGATGGGGCTCTCAATCAGCCCGCGACTGTCAGAAGACGACTCGGGACGACGAGCTCGTCCCAGTGAAAGCCACGGGATCCCAGAGAACTATAGGAGGGGACCAGATCAAGGGGGGGGGGCCATCGAATTGAATCGGCGATACGTCGCCGACGGATCGGCGCTTCGCCCCTGAAATCGAATCTGGACGTTCCTGGGCCGGACGGGCGGTCAGGCCGCTATCGGCAGTGAGTGGGCGATGGGGGGTCGAGCATCCCCCCCCCGCGAGAGGCTACGTACGTGTTCCCCACTGACGCAACCTGTTCGGGCGCGGCCAAACCGACCCCTAGCAAACCATACCCTTGCGTAACGAATTTTGCGTTTTCGATGTCAATGCGGCGCGCGCGTGCGTCGGCTGCAGACTCGAGCAAAACGAATCGCCCACGCGCGAAGCGCTCTCGGGACACGACCGGCGCCGCCCCAAAGGAATTCGCAAACAGTTCATGAAGCGCAGCAAGCGTGCCGCGCAGCTTCCTCGATCGAGTCGGAATGCGTGCTTGTTTGGCGGAGTTGGCGAAGGAGCGCTGGGGGCATCGCTGCCATTCTTGCGCGTGCGTCTACAATGTTTTCAGATGCGGCGCAATCGAATTTGCATCTTGGGGCGCGAGCGGCTTCGCAACTAGAGGAAACAGATGATTGCCCGCTGACATTTTTCGGTGCTACTGTTGACTCGATCATCTCAACCACTCGCGTGCGTTTTGTGTTTGTCTCAGAATCAATGCTCGACAGTGACCCCTCGCGGAAATTGCAAGGATTTGACAACAACTCGCCGTCGATTTCGGCTGACGCCCGGGGCCCCGCTTTCCTAGGTTACCGAGAATGTTAGGATATGCGGGGGTTGCCAGACAATTAATGCTGGCGGTCGGACTCCGGAGCTCGCGGTTTCCCTCGAGCGAGCTGGGCGAGCCCCCCCCCCCCCCCCGAAGCCGCAACGAGGCTCCGAAAAAAGGTTTTCAGAGGCTCCCAAAAGAGCTCCGAGAGGGCTCCAAGCCGACCCCCAGTGGGCCCCAGGTCAAGGTGCACGGCGCATCATGCAACCGCAATGGCATGGCGGGGGACGTTGTTGATGAGCACGACGCCGCGCCGTGGGGCAAACGGCAATGCATGCCACATCGAGGAAAACCTTACACTCTTGCTTCAAGGGAGCACGCGGAAACAATACAACGTAAAAGTGTGCATGCAAATGTCGCTTGCAGGAGCCTCCTTGGGACTCTCTCGGGGTTCTCTCGGGGCATCCTCGGGGCTTCAGGACAGCCCCAGCACGGCCCAAGACGGCTCCAAGAGGGCGCCGGCGTGGCCCACGCAACGGCCCAAACTCATGTTGCACCATGCATCCTGATGCGGGCCCTCTAAACATGTATTTGGACCCCTTCAGATGGGTGCCCTCTGGGGCGTTCTTTGGGGCCCTCAATGGGTTCGAGGGGGCTGCGGGTGGGCCTTGGGGGGACCTCCAGGGGGGCTCCAGGAGGACCCCAGATGCATCCCCAGATAGCCCAAAACCAAAAAGCATTTTGAATATTGGATTTGGGCCCTCTTGGGGGGTAGCGAGACCTTATTGAAGCCGCATTAGAGAGTTCTCGGCGACACGGGCCCCCTCCGGCTTCGGGCGGGTTTCAGGAAGTCCCAGAGAATGCTCCCACAGGGCATCATGTGGACCCCGAGACATTCCTGAATCAGGATGCAGCGCGCGTCCTAACTTTGGATTTTCTTGGGGTCCAAGCGGGGCTCTCCCGAGGTCCTCTTGTGGGCCCCACGGGGCCCACTTGGGGCTCCCTTGAGCCCTCAGGCAGGCTTCCAGAAATTGCTGGCGCTCCGCGTATCCCCACAAGCCCGTCCAAAAAATCACCAGGCGACTTGCCCTGATCATCAGGAGGAGCGATGAGGGCGAAGGGATGAGCCGGGACGGAGGGGTGATATACAATAGCAGTCGAATGCCAGAGTGGTCATGGACAGGAGTGTTCATATACGCAAGTGGTCGTGTACAAGAGGCCCTATTGGGTATCTCTTGGGCCCCCTTGGGGCCCTCGTGGGGCTCGCTGAGGGCCGCCTCGAGGCCCTCTAGGGGCCCTCTTGGTGCATTGCCCGGGCCCTCCAGTGCCTTCCAGTGCGATCCGGAGGGCTTCAAGCGGGCTCAAGACGGTTCCAAGAGAGCTTCAAAATTTGTCCATATATTTGAAATTTGGAGGCCCTCCCGAGGCTCTCTTGGAGCCCTCTTGAGGCCCTCCGAGATGGCATTGGAAGGCCTGGAGGGCCTCGAGAGGGCCCCTCCGAGGGCCCCCGACCAGGAAACCTCCGGGGGGGGGTCGTCACGGTAGCCTCCGGTTTGGGCGCCCCCTCGTCACGGAAGCCTCCGGTTTAGGTTGCGCCCGGGGCCCCCCCGAGCTCGTCACGGAAGCCTCCGGTTTACGCACAAGTCGGGAAACAAGACAGACGGGCCGGGGTCCCGGGGGGGTCGTCACGGAAGCCTCCGGTTTGGGGCGCGCACAAATGATACCCTACCGTGACGAGCTCCGGGCCCGCACTTTCGAAATTTTCATTCGGGGATCCGCCCCGGGCGAGCCCCAAAATACAATCGCGCGGCCCCCGCAGGCCGCGCGAGTGCAGTTTGGGTCTCGCTGGGGGGCGGAGGGCGAGGTTTTGTCGCAGGTGCCGCGGGAGTCCAGGCCGGCTGGTCTTTCCCGATCTTCTCCCCGTTACTCCGCCGCCATCCTCTCCTCCTTCCTTGCTCCTTCGTGTCTCTCCCTCCCTCGCCGTCCCCTCGCCGCTCTTCCCTTGCTCTTCACTTTGGCCTCTCGCCATCTCCCTCTTTCCATTCTGTCCACTTCTCCGCTGTCCTTGCAACCCCCCCACCTTCTCTGTCTCTCCTCCTTGCCCTCTTTCCCCCCCCCCGCTATCCTCGCTTTTCCTCGCCCCCTCCCTCCCTAGTGCCCCTTCCCTCCCATCCCTCCCCCCTCGCATTAGCCCCCCTCGCCCGCATCGCTCTTGCCCTCGTTTCTTCCTTTCCTTCCCTGCCCCCCGCATTCCTTCCCTCCCCCGCCCCCCCCGTATCTCCCCTACCTCCTCTGGCTCCCCTCCCGCGCCCCCTTCCCTGTGTGCGTCTTTCGCCCTGTCTCCCTTCCTCCCCTTCCCCCCCTCCCCCCCTCCCTCCCCCCTGCCCCCCTTAGTTCCCTCGCCTGGCGACGCGCTGCGCAATGCACTCCGCCGCGAGGGCAAGCTGGGCCAGGGGTCGAGGAGGAGGGGGGCGGAGGAGGGGGAAGTTGAGAGAGGGTGGGGAGGGGGGGGGGGCGAACGGGGGTGGCAGGGGAGGGAAGGATATAAAAAATATGTGGACGGGATATCAGGCGGAAAGGGAGGGATGGGGGTTACACGTATGGTTTGTGCGGCATGTGCTGGCATGTTGCACCTGGGCATACTATTGGTTCCCAGTATTTGCAATGTATTGCCTCAATATGGGCAACGTACTGCGCTGCGTCTGTGGGGATGCGTGGCCAACGCCTTGAAACGACAGCAGTCTTTCATGGGGCGCGTGAGCCTGCTCGCGCAGCACGTGCGCACTCATGCGCCTGGCTCGGCACCGGAGGCATACTTGCCAACGCAGACATGGGCGCTCTGTCTGTGATAGAGCCAAGTGTGGATCCTATGATATGTCTGTTTGCGCACTTTCGTGGCTCCTGATATGTAGCGGGCACGCGCTGGCAAAACCCCATCCACGGGAGGACCGTCTCTTTGGGCCATCATTGGCTCAATTCGCCATCCTTGCACGCGTATGCGTACGTCAGGGTGGGTGACGTTTCAGTTGCTCGTCCATATACAAAAGGCGTGGTGTTCCTTTGTCCTATTCCCGAAGTAGCGAAACGATTTATTTGTAATTCCGGTGTCGTGAGTGTGCCAATCACTTTTGAGAAATCGTTCAAGGTTTGCCAGGTATGTTGTAAGACTGTTCAAGACCTGGCGGTCGTACTTCACCGCGCGCATAGCATGCGACTGCTTCGTTGGGATATGTTCGTTTTGGGGGTGGTTGCGTTTTTTCCTAGCCGCCCAGCTTCAGTGCGCGTTTCGGCTCACCGACATCATGTGCGCACCTTGGAGCTCTGATTCGCATTAAGAAAGAGTTGCGCTACGCAGCGCAGGGCCGCGGCATGAAATTTTGAATGGTAAACGCCCGTGCCAGCGCAGACGTGTCGCTCTGGCAGGCCACCGTTGGTCACGCAATTCGAAGGCAGCGCGTGGATTCCATGCGCCGTTGACGTTCCCCGATGACTGTCCTTGGGCCGCGCTCCTTATCTTGCGTCGTTCTGTCTGCCGGCCCGTCGTCGCGACCTCTGCCCGCGCTGGCGCTTTCGTTTATGTCCGTCCCCGAAGCGCTTGACTGGTGCAATGGTTTCCAAAACGTCTCGGTTTAGTTGTCTCTCCGCGTGCCCCTGGGACCGCGACCCGGTCTTGCGAGAGCGACGCTCTCAGGAAGGATCTCATTCGCTCCCTATGTTTGCGCACTTCCGCCTTCTTTAAAAAAAGGGTATGGTTTGGTAGGGGTCGGTTTGGCCGCCCCTGACCTGTGGCCAGGGGGGTCAAGAGTCAGCCCCTGGACCTCTTCTGGGGTGCGCTCCGGTCACTTGAGGAGGAGGAGGGGGAGGAGGAGGAGGAGGAGGAAGAGGAGGAGGAGGAGCAGGAGGAGGAGGAGGAGGGGGAGGAGAAGGAGGAGGAGGAGGAGGACGAGGAAGAGGACGAGGAGGAGGAGGGGGGGGAATATCCAGCCGTGGCCACAAAGAGCGCCCCTCGAACCTGCAGAGGCGGCGCCGAGAAAGCGGGTGGCGCGAGGGGCATCCACGCTGCCCCTGCGGAGCCCCGTTCCTTCATGGCAGCCCAGGAGCGCGGCGCCTCCCAGCCGTCAGCGCCTCGCCTAAGGCCGATGAGCCTCAGAACGTGTGCTTCGAGGCCTCCCAGATGGGGTCGGAGCAGATGGGGTCGGAGGATCGCGCCGCATCGCCAATGCATCGCCGATGTATCGCCAATGCATCGCTGATGCGCCGGCGATGCATCGTCGGCGTCGGCGGTGCATCGGCGACGTCGGCGTGCAGCAACTCGGGCCCCGCATCGAGCTGCATCGCCGATGCACTGGCGATGCGCCGCGATCCTCCGACCCCATCTGCTCCGACCCTATCTAGGGGGCCACAAGTGTTAGCGCCAACGTGTGTGTTGTCCGTCGAAGCAATTTAATACGACGCAGGCAATGTAATGATCTACCGGTGGGGCTGAACGGGGTAAGCACCTTGAGCCAGCCCACGTCCTGAGGAGCATCGATGAGCGTCTGCGCAAGCGCGCGGGCGCGCTCTTGGGCCAAAGTGGCTCAGGAGGAAGAGCTTCTCCCGTTCTTGCCTGTCCCCAGGACTCCGACCGATGGGAATTTTCGCGTCCGGGCATTTTGCGTGGATTGTGGCCTTCGGGGCTCGTGGCTGAGCTCCGGGACCATCAAGCATGGATCGGGGAAGAAGAAAACCAGGGAAGTCGGGAGGTCCCGTGCAAGGAAGGAATTGCTGTATCGGCGGATGTCTGGGTCTGGCTCTCGGGGTCAATGGGCCCATTGAGGCTTGACTTGGGGCTCATCGTTTTCGATCCTGAACGGGGGGGATACATGCGAGGAATAAGACGAGGAAGTGAACGGTGAACGGTGGAGTCCTGGATTGAAAAGGCTCGCGAATGCCAGAGGCATCGCGCTACTTTACAATCCGAGCAGGGCTGTGTCCGGATTACAGTATGCCAAAAGAAGCGCCGCGCGACGTGCCAGGGGGATTCGCCACGGGACACGCCACGGAACGTGCCAGGGAACGTGCCAACGCGCCAGGGGACGTATCAGGGAACGCGTCAGGGAATGTGCCATGGGACGTACCTGACCCATGGCCAGGATCCCTCGTAAATTACGCTGCGTCCGCGCTCCCAGGACCACGATCCAATGTCAATTACTCTGTGTCCGCGCCCCCAAGGCCAGGATCCTCGTAAATTGCAATGTGTCCGCGCTCCCAGGGCCACGTTCCCTTGTGAATTACGCTGTGTCCGCCGCCCAAGGGCACGGATCCTTCGTAAATGACGCTGTGTCGTGCTCCCAGGTTCACGATCCATTGTAACTTAACTACGCTGCGTCCGCGCTCCCAGGGCTACGATCCCTCATAAACAACGCTGCGTCCGCTGCCCTGGGCCACGATCCCTCGTAAGCTACGCTGCTTCCGCACTCCCAAGGCCGCGCTCTCTCGTGAATTATACTGTGTCCGCGCTCCCAGGGCTACGTTCCCTAGTACATTACGCTGTGTATGGGAAAACGCGTGTCTGCGGACACTGTTATTTCTCGGTGATCCGGGATAAAGGAGGCACATTTTTCTCGAGCCGGCACGGGCGAACCGCATTTTCCCACGCCGTATTGGACTTTACCTTGTTTATCGGTTGTTTTCTCCCCGATGGACACATCCGCTGTGCCCCCCAGGGGCATCTGAATCCAACGCTGCGACCAGATGAACAATCCGCCGTCACCTTCGCAGTCGGATTTGAAATTCCGATCGCCGATCAGCCACCACCTCCCCGGACAAACGCGATGTGCGTGTGTGTGTGTGTGTGTGTTTGTGTGTGCGTGCGCAAGTGCGCAACCCTGACGGCTACCAGCCGTATGTATGTATATATACATATATATATATATATCCAGACTCACGCCGGTGGGAGGGGGATGACCGGGATGGGCACGGAAGTGAAGCTCAAACAGCGAGTACACCCCGGGGCGCCCCGAGATACCTTCAGAGAGCGGCATTACGCAACGAAAGTGTAACGAATTTCGCCCCTCGATCCGGCAGCCACCCAGCATTGTGGCTGTCACGGGACACGGTGCGCAGCCGTTCGCGGCAGGATCGGCCATTACAGCGCCACAGGAAGGCGGCGAGACAGCGCGAGGGAAGAACAGTGCCAGAGACATCAGCGACGCCACAAAAGAACTGTGCAGCAGATCTGACCCGCACTAGCTGCACAAACTCCAAAACAACTATGGTGACATGACTGGGCGAATAACGCACACCAGCGAACAGACTGAAGCTGAGTATCTACCAGACGAGAGGCGGGTGGGAGCCCACCCATCGGTGGCTGGAGCGCGAAACGTGGCGCGATCAAAGGAGACCGACGGGCAAGCCCAGGACGAAACCTGAGGTCGGCCAACAGCGGCCCTCAAGCACGCCACACGGCGCAGGCAAGCAGCGGGCGTCCCAGCCACACCGGCGGCCCACCTCAAATAGAAGCCAACCCACCTCAAATAGAAACCGGGGATAAACCAACTAAAAGAAAACCCTAGGCCCATGCCCTTTCCGGGAAACATGATCGACCCACCAACCCGGAAAGGGGTACGGAAATGTGTGGCATGGCATCGTGTTCAAGACACCTGATTGGGCGACGGACAATTGCAATGCTGAGTGTATCGATCTTGATGCACCGTGCCCAGGGCTGTACTGTGCTGTCCCATGCTGAACTGCGATGTGCCATGCCGCGATTGTGCTCTATAGCGTTGTGGATCGAGTCCTCCTTGGCATTCGAGTCCTGACCGGACTGATCTGGATCTTAAGCTCGAGCTGTCTGAGCACATAGTAGCTGCCCCAGAGCTAGTTGAAGTGGAAACGTGGAGGACGTTCAATCAACTCGACCTCAAAATCCGATTCAGCTCCCCAAGGGACGTTGCAAGGGGCCCGCCATGGAACACGCTGGGGAAACGCCTGGGGACTAGCAAGGAAACGCGATAAAGGACGAGCCAGGGAACGTGCCACGCCGAGTGGCGTGCTAGGAGACGTGCCAGGGCACGTCACGCCTGAACGTCGCAAGGGACGCGCCAGGGGGTACGCCAGGGCGCCAGGGGACGCCCCACGGATGGGCGGGAGGTTGGACTGCGACGCACTCTACTGCGACAAGCGTTTCGCTCGAGACATCCTCAACGAATCCTCATGTTAGACATCCGCCTGGGCGACCTGGACACGTGAAAGCAAGCGTCTCGCTCGAGACGTTCTTCTCCTCATGCTAGACATCTGTCTGAGCGCTTCGTTCAACACATCCTCAACACATCCACATGCTAGACATCCGCCTGGGCGACCTGGACACGCGAAGATGAGCGGTTTGCTCGAGCCATCCTCAACACACCTTCATGTTAGACATCTGCCTGGGCGACCTCGGCACGTGAAAGAAAGCGTCTCGCTCAACACATCCTCAACATATCCTCATGCTAGACATCCACCTCCTGGGCGACCTGGACACGTATTTGCAAGCGTCTCGCTCGAGGCATCCTCAACACATCTTCATGTTAGACATCCGCCTGGCCGACCTGGGCAAGTGAAAACAAGCGTGTCGCTCGAGACCTTCTGAATACATCCTCATGCTAGACACCCGCCTTGGCGACCTGGACCCTTGAAAACAAGCGTCTCTCTCGAGACATCCTCAACAAACCTCATGTTAGACATCCGCCTGGGCAACCTGGACACGTGAAAACAAGCGTTTCGCTCCACACATCCTCAAGACATCATCATGCTAGACATCCACCTGGGCGACCTGGACACGTGAAAGCAAGCGTCTCCCTCGAGACATCCTCAACACATCCTCGTACTAGAAATCTGCCTGGACGACCTCGACGCGTGAAAACAAGCGTCTCGCTCGAGACATCCTCAAATCCTCGAATTTCGGCTCCTAGCCACAATTCCTGATGCTAGACGTCCGCCTGGGCGACTTTGGCAAGTGAAACCAAGCGTCTCGCTTGAGACATCCTCGAGACCTGGGCACGTGAAAACAAGCATTTCACCTGAGAGATCCTATGAATCCTGGTCGCTAGGAGAGGAACGATCTACAGCACAAAACAAACGTTTCCTTCGAGACATCATCAACAAATCATGCAACACAATCGTTTCGCTGGAGACATCCGCAACAAACAAAAATGCTTACTTCAATTTATGTTTTATCGATCGGAATTTCAACATGAACGACCCACGAACCCAGAAAGGAATGTAGAAATATGAAGCGTGGTAACGTTTCAAAGCACCTCAATTGGGCGATGGGCAGTGGCAGTGCTGAAGATATCGGTGGTGACGATACCGTGCCAGGTGCTGCGTTGTGCTGCGCTGCGCTATGCCGTGCCGTACATGACTACCTACCAGACCACCCCAACCCAACCCGAAGACACGAATTTCGGGTTGGGGGGGGTAAGGGTTCCACATGTGTTTTTTCGATGTTTCCCGACCCCCCCACTGGAAATCGAAGGTACATCTGAGCCTTCGGGTCGGGACGCACCAGGTGGCGCGCCAAGGGACGTGCCACAAGGACGCGCCGCAGAACGTCCCAAGAGACGCGCCAGGCGACGTGCCGGGGGACGCACCAGGGGACGCCACGCGGGGCGTGCCGGGGGGACGCGCCACGGAACGTGCCAGGGGACGTGCCAGGCGACGCGCCAGCGGACGCGCCAGCTCCCGCGCCGGGGAGGCCCCCGGACGCCCGACGCCACGCGAAGGCTCCCGCCCGGGAGGGGGGCCGCCCGCAGAGGCGCGACCCCGCGCGAGAGTGTCCCGGAGGCCCGACGCCACGCGAAAAGCTCCCGCCCAGGAGGGCCACTACCTACCAGACCACCCCAACCCAACCCGAAGACCCGAATTTGGATCGAATTTCGGGTTGGGGGGGGTACGGGTTCTATGTGTTTTTTCGATGTTTCCCGACCCCCCCCCCCACTGGCAATCGAGGGTAAATCTGGGCCTTCGGGTTGGGTTGGGGTGGTTTGGTGGGTGGTGAGAGGGGGAGCCCTGGGAGGCCCGACGCCACGCGAAAAACTCCCGCCCAGGAGGGGGAGCCCTGGGAGGCCCGACGCCACGCGAAAACTCCCGCCCTCGTGAGTTGCGCTGGATTCGCGCTCCCCTAACAGGATCGACCCACGAACCCGGAAAGGAATGTAGAAACGTAAGGCATGGCAGCGTTTCGAAGACTGGATCTTGAGCTCGAGCTGCCTGAGCCCAGAATAGCTGCCTCAGCGCACATTGACAGGGGGACATGCCAGGAGGACGCGTCGCAGAACGTCCCAAGAGACGCGCCAGGCGACGTGCCAGGGGACGCGCCATGAGGACGCACCGAGGGAACTGCCAAGGCGACGCGCTACGGAACGTGCCAATGGACGTGCCACGGGGACGCGCCGCGCGACGTGCCAGGGGACGTGCCACGGGACGTGCCAATGGACGTGCCACGGGACGTGCCAGGGGACGCGCCGCGCGACGTGCCAGGGGGACTCGCCACGGGACGAGCCACGGATCGTGCCACAGAACGTGCCAGGTTGCAATGCTGAGTGTATCCATCCTGATGT